AACAGCCACTCAATACTTAATATTGAGGTTTAAACACCACTGACTTCATAGCATTGAAATATTTTATTTTGAGAAGTAAAATATGAAATTTCTTGATTTGCAGTTTCAAAAGCTGAATTTGAATTCACATCCAAAAATTCACATTTCAAAATTCAAGTTGAAAATATTCGAATAGTAACATCCGGGCTACCGAGGACAGGACATGTAGGGAAGACTGGATTTTGCTATTTGAAAAATTTCAACTTGAATGTTTAGATCTGAATTGAATCATTGACATTGAGCAACCTGAATCATTTTTCTTTTTAAATTTTGGATCTGAATTTGTGAACACTGAAAAATATATTCAAGTTTAGATTTTGAAATTGCAAATCAAGAATTTTCATATTGTATTTACTGAGAGGTGAATTCAGAACACATTTTTCAGATTTGAATACATGGTTTTCAACGTAAAACAAAAATCAATGCTATGGATTCATTGGTGTTTAAATTTCAGTATTAAGTTTTCAGTGGCTGTCAAAATTCAAACACTTATATGCCTTATTTGCTTCCATAAATCTCACTCCTTTTTCATGCCCGGCCAAATCACTTTAACTTGCGAGGCAGTTGGATTCAGAGATCATGCGAGAATCACAAGATCACGTGCTACATAGCCTGCCCAGAATAACTCCTGCGGTAGAAACAGTATTGCCAGACCTCCACAGATGGACACATTTCTGCTGTTGCACAGTATATACTGTCATATCACCCGACCCTGTTACAATATATATTCTTAATAAGCATTTGGAATTGGTTGAAACTGAAACGATTGGTGATCAGTTTTTGTCAAGTGTCCTATAAGAGTAAGCTGAGGGCAGAATACTGGATCTAAAGAAACTGGTGCAGTGCTTCATCCTTTCAGAGTGTTATAAATTCCTTTTTTGCTTTAGGAGGTTTTGTGAAATGAGGTTTTGTGAAATGAGTCATCTGACATGGTGCCTTTAATTTCTAGAAACGGGACATTCAGCTGCTAAAAGCCTACATGAGAGCAATCCGCAGTGCTAACCCAAACCTGCAAAACCTGGAGGAGAGCATCGAGTACAATGAGATCTTGGAGTAAGTGACATTTCATCTTTTCTGCAGCTTGTGTTTTAATATCAACTCCGTCAGGGAGCTGTAGCTCAGTCCATAATTTGCCTGTGGTTTTCATTTTATCTTGTCTCCAGGTGGGTGAACTCCATGCAGCCCGCCAGAGTGACACGCTGGGGCGGCATGATCTCCACTCCTGATGCTGTGCTCCAGGCAGTCATCAAGCGCTCTCTCATTGACAGCGGCTGCCCTCTCTCAATTGTGAACGACCTGATCGAGAACGCCCACGAGCGTAACTGGCCGCAGGGACTGGCCACGCTCGAGACACGGCAGATGAACAGGCGCTACTATGAGAACTACGTTGCCAAGCGTATCCCTGGCAAGCAGGCAGTGGTGGTGATGGCCTGTGAGAATCAGCACATGGGGGAGGATATGATCCTGGAGCCCGGCCTGGTCATGATCTTTGCGCACGGAGTGGAGGAGATCTTATAACTTTACAGAGAGCTGAGCTGATCCAGAGACAAGTGGGGATGTTTCCCTGGGGGTTCGCTGTGATGAGTAGAGTTTCCTCGTTGGAGCGAAACCGTCTGATTAAATCTGGCTTATTTAAAATAAAATCTTATAAGAGGCTCACTCCTAAGCTTGATACCAATGCCTTAAAGTGAGGATGAATATATTATGAACCTGGCAAATAGAAACTTATTCTGACTGATATCCGAGATAAAAGGTGAGATGTGATGTTTACAAGGTTTATATTTGGTGCATTATATGATCTGATTGTTCTGCTCCGTGTCCTAATATAGTAATAAGCTTGAACCCCAGTTTAATGCCCTCAGTTGTATAAATGCTTGTAAATACAAATACTATATTGAATTATAAATGTCATTCTCTTATTCCTCTCACTGTAATTAGATTGTGATTTCTGTTTATCTCACTTCTGTTTAGTCAGCTTGTGTGACTGTCTGCAGGGACGTCGACCCAGAAGATTCTTTTCTCGTGCTTGCTTTAGTATTTAGTTTCATGTGAATATTTCACAAGACGTGCTTCTGAGTTTAGATTGTCTAAACCTTCCGTGCCATTTGTTTTATTTATTGTGTTGCCTTTCACACAAACATGCTTGAAGATGTTACCATTTGATGTATGGAAATCTGCCTTTTTCGGTGCATTTGAAGTTCATCGCAGGAAGAAAATTGATTTTGTGTTTTCTCTGTTGCCTCGGTTGTAAATATAGTCTGTATGTTGAGTCCACGTGAAGTGTTAAATTTGAAGTTTAACATCTGGGATTTAACTATGTCTGATGAGTTTTATTTGACAAATCATAATGATTCACTTGAGATTTTAGGTGATCCTTAACGTCTTTCAGATTATTGAAAATATAGACATCGATCTTCTCGTTCTTTGCAGTTAGCCAACATTTGTTCACTGACATGTCACTACAAACCATAGCTTGGAGATTGTAAAAAATATTTGTAAAGTCACTCTTATGGCTTTTGAGAGGTAAAATGTTCACCATTAGTCACTTGTTGCTGTAGTAAGACAAACAAGACTTCAAATGTCCGGAAGTGCAGTAAACAGATAATTTTGGATTGTGCCCTTTATTATTTTCCCTGTTAATGTTTCTGTTTGTTTTGTGTCTGTTATGTACCGTGTTGTACAGACAAGAAAGTAATAAAAAATGTCCAACTTCATCCCAAAAGAATGTATCATCTCACTGGGATAACAAGATTTTATATTTAGCTTTTAATTAGGAAAAAATGCAGTTCCTTATTTTACCACACCATGTCATCAGAGCTCTGCGGGGAGGTGAATTTCTTAGGGGCACATCAGCTGAACACATTATGTAAAAACCTCCGTCAAGAGAAAATGATTGCTGCTTTTAAGAAATCAGGGCAGTGAGGAGGAGATGTGGGATGTGAAATGCTGTCGATCCAGGTTAAGGAAATTAGGAGGAAAGTTTAACCACAAAACTGTGACTGCACTGACCTGACTCACTCTCCTTTTCTCTGTCTAACCCAGACACCCACATGTTTTCCATGTCTGTTATCCTCCCTTGCCAGCCTCGTCCTCATTGTGGAACCTAATCCCTCGCCATTGTGGTCACTGGAATGTGAAATCATGTGCTTTACCAAATACTGTGGCTCTGTTATTGTCTACACACATTATGATGTGATGTGGTTGGGTACTGCAAGGCGTAGCCTACAGCAGTCCTCACACTAAGCCACATGTTAAATATACTTCAGAATGCGTTAGAGGATTTGTTTCAATGACCTGAAAACATTACGAGTAGCACATTCATATAAAATGTTAAAATAAAATACATGAGGCTGTCTGCCTGGTTGAGGAAGTATTCACATTCCTAAGTAAAAGTAGCATTAGTTTCAAGTTACCTATTGATATGCACAACAATAATAGAGAAGCAGCCGTTGGCAATCCTATGAGATTTACACATGAATAAAATAGTGCAGAAGTTGAAGGGATAAAATATAACACACACACTGTTGGGAAGTAACTAAACCAGTTACTAAGGAACAACGTGATTAGATTACAGCTACTAATACATTCTTTCTGTTGCTTTGCATATTTTCATTGTGCAGGAGTGCCTTCTTTTAGCATAGCCTATTACTGGAAAATTTTCAGCTTCACAGCCCAGTTTAAAACATTTCTTAAAAAAGAAATCAAATGTTATAAATTGCAATACCTTGATGAGGTAATTAAAATAGTTACATTACTGGTTACATTTTGAACAGGGTAACTAGTAATCAGTATCCTATTAACGTTACGTCTCAAAGGTAACCTTCCCAACACTGGTGGTAGATGAAGTACAAGAGCAGAATTGAAAATGTGTCTTAAGCAGAGGTTTTAGTATTAGTATAATGTGATATAAAATAAAGATTTTCTTGGGTTGTTAATTTTATATTTATGTAATTTTTATTTCTAGCTGCCAAATAAAGGTAGTGGAGTAAAAAGTATACAGTAGCATTAAATGGAAATATTCAACTACAGTACAAACACTTCAACTTTACCAAATACTCGGTTCTGATTGGCTGCAGGTGACCGTTAAACTCCTTAAAAGTAGTTCCAAACAACAGTTTATTCACACTCTAAATCAATGCGCAGTGTCCAATAAAGCCGCGAGTAACCATAGCAACACTACTAATGAAATCTTGCACCATGACACCTGAGGAGACAATAGCCAAACTGTTTAGCTAGGTTAACAAACGATCTTTACTAAATGGATAACTGCACCTTCATATCCGTGTTTATTTATTTTTGCTAGTGATAATGGCAACTAGCAGTAAACACAAAAATATTGCTTGGCCAAGGTGTCCAGATATGAGAAGAAAAAAAGGAAGGTGTCTGTCGCTGTTAGTTAGGACCGCCAACTGGTAAAGCTAACATTAGCTAACGTTAGTTTAACTAACTGCCGTTATTACAGTAGGTAAGCTAACATCTTTGTGAGGCTTATTGTGATTTTTGATAACATTAGTCTTACAGTATCATGCTCATCAGTATCATCTTTATTATGTTAGCTTGTGGCATGTTTTCACAAAACAAAGCTTAACGTTAGCCTAGCCTAACATGTAGGACATACATAAAACCACAAAGAAAAAAAATGTAACTAGGTTTGGTTTAATTTCTTGGAACCAAATATAGCAAATATTTCAGCAAGTTAATACTTGCACCAAATACATTTTAAGAATCCACATGTACAATTTTAATGGAGCTAATTGCTAACGTTACATTTTTTAATAGCATTCCGTAGAAAAAGCTTGTAGCATATTGCTTTGATTTCCTTAGTAGGGAGAAGTGCCGTTACACGTTACAGCTGCAAAATTTTAATGAGCATTACTTTGCAACTTTGCAGATGGATGCATGCCTGTGTAACGAGTGTGTATTGGTTAGCACAGAGGGCGCAGAGCAGCTGAGGCGGTGCTTGACAGGAGGGATCTGCTCACTCACTCCCTGCTCTGCATTCACCGCTTCCACAGCGCGGACCTGCTGCTTTCACAGAAAGTTAAAGGCCACCTCTGAAAGCAGGGGTTTTGACCGGTTGTCCAGCTGCATCACGACAAGCTCATTAAAGACGACCAACGGTGTGGCGAGAGAAAGGTAAATGACTCTCACAAACAAACAGTAGGTCCGTAAACGGCGTATTGATTGAAGTTTCTGTGCAGCCCTGTAGGGCTTTCAGCTGCAGATGAACGACACTCAAATACGAGGGGATAATTTTTGCTTGTTGTTTTTGTGCTGCCGTCAAGAAATGTATATAAAATCCAAGAAGGTGCATCTGGGAATTGATTGCTTTCAGTCCTGTGCATGTGATTTCTTTTTACAAGAGAGAGTGCGGCGGATAGTCGTGAGTTAATAACAGAGTAATTCACTCAGTCGAACAACAGCCAGGAAGGCAGACCGTTTGCAGTTTAATGCACGGTCCTCTGCCTTCTTTTTTAAAAGTCTGTCTTATCATTTCAGTTCCCGTTGCAGTGTGTCATGACGGTTAATGTCAGGCAGCTTAAGTTACCTGCGGGGCAACCCTTAGTCTATTTACAGAATTGAGCAATACATCTGTCAGAGAAGAGACTGGTGAGCATTCAGGAGTATCCGAAGTATTTGGGTTATCATGTCTGGTAACTTGGCGTAAAGGACTCCACTATATGTTTCATTTAAACTTGCCAACACATGCTACAGCTTAATATATTACAAGTACATGTAACAAGCAGGTTTATAGTGTAATTGCTCCATGTTTGATAACATCTTATCTGAGTGACACCCATTTTAGATTATGTTTGTTGCTGGATATGGTGCTATTCCAGCAGGGACAGTGAAACCTCAGTCAAGATAGACATACAAACAACTCAGGGGGTTTTCACTGTGTTTTTGTCACTTGTGGGATAACAAAATCCTCCACAGTGTGAAGTAGATGATGGTGGGCGTTGTTGGGCACTGTCACTGCTGTGTGGTCACTGTTTACGCAAAACTCCTCTTTCACTATCATTCGACTGCAAATGGTGAATGTGACATTCAGTCCTTATGCTAACTGGCAAAACAAAGCATACAGGAAAGTCTCGATACTTTTGTCAGGTCTGCGTTTTTACGTTTTTTGCCTGAACCATTGGTTTCAAGACTGTTTTATTTTCAGGTGGCACTTTCTTGGTTGAGCTGTGTGTTCATTTCGAGCAGGTTATTTTAAAAGCTGGGGAGTCTCAGTGGTATTCATCAGTTTCTAGCTGTGAGAGAGTTTTCAGGCACACACAATCAATACTGTAGTCAGGTCAATTGTCCCATTGGCAATGTTTACATCAAAGGCTGGAGGCTGTAAATTAAGTAGAATTTGACCCCTTTTGTGATCTGTGGTTTAATCTATAAATTTTAGCTGTTATTATAAAGCGTAGCTAGGGTAATGAGAGAAATGGCATGGATACCTTTTGTTTACACACTATTTCACTTCTCTAAATACAGTAGCTCTGTCATCCATTTAGCTTTCAGTTCCTTCATTATATTATTCCCTGGAGTCAGCCTGAATCCTGTATCAGTGAGTGTGATTTTTAACCCCTCTGGCTTTCATAAATAAAGTGTCAATAATATGTTATACGTTATTATCATGTCATTGGAAGCAATTCAGATATGACATGCCATTCAAGTCTCAACTGCTGTAACTTACGACATCACTTGTGTTGTCTTTGTTAGGCTCATCGATTCACATTTCAAAAATATTTCACAGGAGCTAATGAAATCAAATATATTTCAGTCCTCTATGAAGACCCCCTGAATTACTGACATGATAGTGGAAAATACTACGTGATTGCATTTCAGATTGAATCATTGAAAAATGTGACATTTAATGTTGTTTTATTTTCAGTTGTGGATAGATCTGTGGGCGAACCAGGCGAGACTCCCTGATAACGTACTACACTTACACCATAAAAGCAGTGTGGCTGCTGTATGACAGCGTGCACTCTCACAAGTCTGGGCAGGTTTGAGTTTTTTTTTCTCTGAGCACAGCATGGTGTTCTACAAGGCTGCCTCCACAAAAAGCTATTATATAAGTCACATTCAAGTCTGAACCCAGAGTGATGGGCAGTCCTCACTTTGAAGCCACGGAGCGAGCAAAGCCTCGCCTACATTTTCCAAGAAATCTGTGATTCATACTGTGGTGAATGTCTTTTGTTTTTTTTTCTTTCGTGTTTTTGTCTCATTTACAATCCGTGTTTATTGTGTTCAAGTTCCCCAGTGTTATGACTAACTAGACCCTGCTGTCGTTTGCATACCTCTCAATTCCTCAGATATTACCATTCAGCAATAGACAAGGGGTAGCCCAGTTTTTTACAGAGCATGCTTATTGCTTTTGACCCTGCTTTTTGCATAAATTTCAAAACAGTGTTCAACTGATAAATCTCACACCAGCTAGATTTTTTTATCCAGGATCTTGCATAAAAATTTTAAATAAGAAATACAATAGCTATTTCTTAGTCAGGGTTCTCTCAGTAGAGTCAGCAACACATTTTCCAGTACACAGTACAGTGATATGTATTAAACTGAACTAAAGTGAAGATGTAAAACAACCAGGGGGAAGTAGTGGTTATGGGCTGTAGCTCTAGGGATATATAAATGTGACGAAGTGGCTTTTTTTTCTCTGATAGTTCCACTAAGTCAAACATTACTGCTGGTTTGAAACTTCTGACTCGGACTGCAAAGTGACCCCTGAGCAAACAATCCATTTATAGTAAGGGAGTATTCCCGTGTTCATGCAATGAGTCACAGTAGCATCTGTATGCAGAATGCAATTTAGAGCATGGCCTCGAGTTTTGAAGGTCAAACAAGGCTCATAGCGTGGGAGGAGGTGAAGCTGCAGGGGGAAGACTCACGGCTACTGACTAGGCTCCCCCTTCCCTGAACTGGCTGCTACCCTCTCTGCTTGTGCCTCCTCCTACCTGTTAGTCACCCGCGGCAGTGCTCTGACGGAGAGCAGCTGATGGAGGGAAACACTTTCCATAGCAACGGAGCATGTCTGTCCTCCCCCTTCTGTTAACCTGATGCAATCTGTACACACTCTAGTGAAGAGAATTGTTGTAGTTTCGGGAGGAATACAAATGTTCAACATTAGACTTAGACTTCACTTTGTTCAAAGAGCCTACGCAGTGTTTTCCAACCACAGAATGACGGAGTCAATGGCTTGCACCCTGCAAGTGTTGCAAAACAGCAGATTTCCTTGACACAAGGCGTGGGCGTCATGACAGCTTGCACAAATATTAGCCTGCATGGAAAAAGGTCGTCCCCAAGTGTACCTTGAAATGGTTCTTGTGAAGAGAGTGCTTTATGGTTGTTGACAGTTGTACGTCAAGACATTATGGGATCATAATAAAACACATGGCATGTGTGAAGGAAAAAGCCAACTGAACTGTTCACTGTAATTCTCCAGTTATTTCACTGTGGGATTTTTTTATAAAGCAGTTTCTTTGGTGTTTATCAGATGAGTGGTCAGAAGTAAAGGTGAGTGTCAGGCTCTAAACAGAAGGTTTTTCAGAGGTTTGTGGGGGAGCAGATGTTGCTTTAACAAGCGGTTGCTACTCGGAGAACCACTTTAACATTGAAATTGTTCTTTACTGCTCATTGAAGAACCACTACTGGCCCCACGTAGAAACAGGAGGCTGTTGCTCTTGTGCATTGCCTCTCAGAGCATGTGCTGCATCACTTATTCTGTACTGATTATATGGAGAGACATTTTGTTCAAACAGAATTACACCTCAGATTGTCAGTAGAGCGAACCAAAGTAAATCACTCTGAATGATGGTTATGTGATTCCTGTTACCCTGCATTTAAACCTTTCTCATGTCTACGTGACAGAGTCTCTGCTGTGTAAATGTTTCTCTAAAGCAACATAAACAGCTTCCTCATGAAGCATCTAACATTTAACTTAAGCCCAGCAGTGACACCTTATTGAGAGCCAGCCCAGAAGCAGTTAGTCACATGGCCTGTATTAAGTCTTAACAAGCCTCAGACATTCCTCAAACCACCTGAAATATTTATACATGTTCCAGTAAGCTCAATTAGATGGTGCCTCAGATTTTCAAAACTCCATCCATGTTTGAGAGTGGAGTATATTACACTATTCATCTCCTCTCCTCTAAGTGCAGGGAATGCCTCTTCCTGTGCTCTGTGTTCTGACTGGTCCCGATTCCCACTCTGCATCGTGCATGCAAATCATTATCTAATCAGGAAGTGAGGAATCAGATTACTCAGATAGGCTTGAGATCTTGTTGAACCAGACAATAATGATGATGATGATACTCAGTTGGGAAGGAGACAAAATAGACATGACGCTGCTCACGACATCACGCCTCTCTGGAAAGCATAAAAACAGAAAAGGCAAAACAAGACACAGGAGTTATCTAAAGGAAGAAATGTGTTTATGCCTATTTTTAGCTTGTTTATTTTACAGTGTTTGAAGATTGGAGTCAGGGGTGTATTTTTAGAATAAAGAGTTTCAGGCCGTAATCAGGTGATCAGTAACAGATGTCTTTTCATGATTCCTTCATGTGTCACATTGCTGTTGATACAGACCTGGCCCACCTGATCGGCTGCATAAACAGAACTGCTAGGCAACGCCGCTGACCTTTTGAGGGAATTAAGTGAGGACAGTATGAACCTTTCAGAGTCCAAAGACAGCAAATGGATACAAATCACATGTAAAGAGTGGGTGTTATTTCAGATTATTTCATTTCTTTTTCTCAGTAAGGTCTTTGTCCTTTAAGTACTCAGATTTTCTGTTAAGTGCAGGCAGCCATCACTGATACCTGCAGTGAGGTCCTATTCATCAGGCTGGGCTGAAAACCACCACACAATCTTTTGTATGCTTCAGTTTTGTGTAGTAGATGATAGAATGGTCTTTAATATCAGAAGAGATAACAGGTTTAAAGCGGCTCATGTGGTTTTAACAACTCTACTAGGCTGTTACGCCAGGCTCAATATATTCATAATACATTTACCACATATTTATGCTACTATAGTTTAAAATCTTTCCTGTTGTAATTTATATAGCAACAATCACAAAAGAAAAGAAAGAATATGTCACTCGAAAAATGACTATTTGTACATCAGTTTTTCACCCCATGTTACCCTGAATTTTTGGGAGACTACGGTGAATGGGGAATCCATAAAAGCAAAGCAAAAGCAAAACTATAGCAAAACTCTAACTTCCATTTCCAAACACACAGCTCGTGCAGTATAATTTAATTCCCAATTATCTAGTTGTGTGCTCGGTACTTCTCAAACTTTCACTAAAACATTACAATATAAAACACCTTAGCCTAGCAGTAGCGCCCTGAGCATGCTTATGCTTGTGTGTGCATATGAGCTCTGACTGAGAAGAGTTCAAAAGCAGGTGTGTGCTACTCAGCTGGGCATGAGACTGTTTGTAGTCATGTATAGTGTTGTCCCAATACCAAAATCTTTGTTTCGGTACCAATACCAATATGAATTTCGATAGTTTTCGATACTCTTCGGTACTTTTCCTAAGGAAATGTCCTTTTGGATACAAACCTTTAGAACAATAAATAGTAGGGGTGTAACGGTACCAAAAAACGGACGTCATGGTTTGGTAACTCAAATGTTCCACCAAGTTGGTGTTGTCTCGTGTTGTCTCCCTTTGCGAGGCAGACTTTCTCTTGTCTTTTTTCACGTGCGCCTGCTGCAAATGTTGATACAGGTGTTGTCATACACACCACTAGCGCAATCTGTGCTCCAATAGGAACAAGAAAGGCGTTTGTGTGCATAAATGAGTAAAATAAATTAACTAAATTAATGAATTGAATCAATTTGAAAGTACCGGTATTTTTCAAATGCAGTATAGTACCGTTTGGAATACTCTAGTACTGCGGTACTATTTTAGTACCGGTATACCGTGCAACACTAGTCATGTATTTTAAATTGTAATGTTTTCGCAAAAATGCATGTGTTTGGGGGCACTGAGTATACAACTGGATAAATGAGACTTGGATTATACTGCACGATTTGTGTGAGAGTTTATGAACGGATGTTTTGATTAGGTTTTGCTGTTTTAAAAGCGTTCTCCTTTAAGTCTGTCCATGAAGAATGGTTGCCTTTTTTGTATTCTCAGTTCACTGGAGGTATGAGAGGGAAAAAAATGTCTTCCCAGAAATCAAGGTAATGTGCGGTGGGTAATTGATATACAAGTTGTCATTTTGCAGGTTTTACTTCCTATACATCAATACTGCTGACCATTTTCCGAAGCATGCTGTAGAGTTACTTCTTCTGAACCTGCCTTTTCCACTTTAGGTTCCAGCCCTCCAGTGCCATTAATTTCCATACTGTATTAAAATCAATCAGCAAGCTATTAAAACTTTCTTGACTTGTGCACTCCAACAGAGTAGTTTAAAAACTGAATTTATTGTTTTGAAAGGTCCATTATCGTTGAATGGTAATGCAGGTGAAGTGCAGATTCATTTAGGAAGTCTCCACTGCATTACCTGATAATGGGAATGTGCTGTAGACAAAGCCTAATGCAGTTTGCTGTGATGGATTACACTAGTCAGGCAAGTCTCAAGCATGGAATTGCAAAATATTCTGCACTTGTGTAAAGTATTTATGGGTTAAATCATGCATAATCAGTGCTGTGGTCTTATAAAGCAAGACTATTTCACTTTTTCTTAACAAGTGATGATTACAGGAAAATGGTTAATGAGTGAAAACAAAAACATCATGTAAAAGGTAGAGGTGTACAAACTAAAGGACAGTCATTGAGGCTGTAAATTCACTTAGTTATGTCAGTTATATCAGTCTAAAGTTTGCTAATATTAACCACCATAAGATACTGGTCACACCAGACAAGGCAAAACAACAAAACCCCTGAGATTATCAAATAGAGCCAGGGTGCATTTTTGTTGCTTATTAACTCAACAATTTGTTTGTTAATGAGAGGATGCGTTATTTTATCTATGAGAATATCACAAGGATCTGAAATGCTCATCTTACTTCTTCTTTCTTAAAAATGCACCAGTTGCTCCTTTTTCTTAAGTGATTAATGGATACACGTGTCTGTTTGTTTTCCTGTCATTAGCAAGCCTCCCTCTATTATGCTTTAACTGCATGTTTGCTTCTTGAAGAAAGTATTTACAACACTCTCACCAAATGTTCCTCCTCACTTAACGCTTCAGACTTCAGAGCGACATGCAAGGCCAATTTTCATTGCTCCTTTTCTGTGTCAGATTCAAATTTCACGCCTGCTTTCAGCCTTGTATGACATTTAAGGCTCTTCTTTTTGTTTGTAGGGGAGGTCCCTTGACAAGCCAGTTTGTTCTTTTCACCTCTCTGCAAGATTTTATTGTTTATTTCCTCATTTCAACACTACTCTTTTGTGCTAAACTTAAAGCCAGTCACTCTTTATATGTAGTGTTGCATAATTCATATTTGGGCCAGTGACTATATGGAAAGAGATTCTGGGTGGAGAGAATCCCCAGAGTCGAAGTATCATGGGTACCTTTAGCCTGACATAATTTCTACCAGACTTTTGGCCCAGTTTATAGTGGATATTCATATGTAAGTGTTGGTGAGAGATTTAAAATGAATACAGTATATAGACGTCAGAACAGAGAAGTCTGAAACTTAATGTCAGAGCATACAAGGAAGTAATTTTATCCTTAAACACTATGAGGAAAGATTGTGGGTCAACGAGCACTTACCACAGTGATGTACATAATGATGGTTAGGCATAAAAACCTTTTATAATTATTTGTAGTGTTCACCAAAAGGGAAAAGACATGTGTACAGAGTTGACTGCTGATGTTCTGAACAGTTCTCTATATTCTCTGGCAGTAACTGCTTTGCTTCTGCTTCACTCAAACTTTGGACATTGAGTGTGGTTCTCCCAGTCTACAATCGTGGATTTTTACAGAGCGAGATGGAAGATGCTATCTTTTGCTTGCAGCCATGCTTTTATGTTTTACAAAGAGGCAGGCTACTGTGCACCCACCTTCTCTTTGCTCTCCGTCTATGTCTCACTGTTTCTCTCGCTTATGCACAGGCAGGCAGTTAGTGCAGAAGCAGGCACCATGTCCACCCCCACAAACCCAGAGGTGAAGGAACTGAACCCTGTCGACTTTATCCAGCTACAGCAGTACATTGAATGTGAGTACAGACGGGCGGGCGGGCAGGCAGCTTTCTCAGCGCTTAACGCCCCCCTCCCCTCCACTTCCACTTCCACCCACACACACACTCATTTACACTCGCTCATGGTTTCTCGTATCTAGAAGAGGTTGCAGTCTGCCACATTCTGTTTTTTGCAAATAAAGTGTGTAGGTCTTTTGTTTTTTCTACAGATAGATCTATATTCATTTTGTAATCATGTGTCCTCAATATTTACGGAACAGTAAACTGATATGTGAAAAACATTTGAGAGCTTCCCTCGTGTACAGAAGTACACGTGTAACCCTGTGTGACCTGTGTGTCTTTGCTTCCAGACTGCAGTTTGAAGGTGAAAGACGTGCTGAGGGAATTTGATGCAGATGGCCGTCTGGCCCGGCACAGACATGGAGAGGTGAGGGGACGGTGTGTCCTGCTGTTCACCATCACATCCAAAACTCACTCGCAGCTAACAGAGGCACATAACTGAACTGAATAACAGCTCTCAGCGGAGTAGTTTAATGAGAAACGAGCACTTGATTTATGTATATCGAGCAGTTACTAATTGTCCTGCACTGATTAATTAGATTCAAACCCATCGGTCATGTTGACTAAGTTGTCCAAGAGAAATGTCTCCAGTGCATTGGAGCGAGGTTGCAAATGTAAATTACCTCCTTAGTTTTGCCCACGCAGCAGTGTCGTGCCGAACAGTGTGCTGGCTGCCCTCATGCAGTGTAAGCTCAAATGTGATTGAGAAAAGATCTTTCCAATACTGTAGTGTCAGTGGGTGATACTGCCAACTAATTTGTGCAGAAAACAAATGCAGCAATTTCGAATGCATAATTTGACTACATACAGTTTAATTAGATAATTGGAAGGAAATGTTTTTTTATTGGGAAATACTGCCAGAAAGTACTATTTAATAGATTTTAAAAACACACATAACAATGAAGTTACTGTGTGTGTGTGTTTGTGTGTGTGTGTGTGTGTGTGTGTGTAGAATAATACCACAGTTTCTGTGGTCTCACTCTCGTTCGCCTTTTTTCTTTCCTTTTGTCACTGGGATCTGGCTGCCTCATGGTGACATTATTTATTACTGGGGCAGCTCTGCAGGGTATCAACCAGGGAAATGGAATAATGTCAACAAGAATTGGGTTTGTGGTCCACCGTTATCGAGGGACTATTGCTTGTTGGCCCTGCAGCATATTATCGTGTGAGAACGACAGATACCAGGCCCAACAGATGGACTGAAATATTGATTTAGGAGCTTGTTTTTTGCTTTATGTCATTGTCACATGAAAACCCTGCAACCACTCCAACATGTGTCTAAGAGACATCTTTAGCGTTTGAAAGCCTTTCAACCCTCACTGGATGTACTTTCAGTTCACGGCTCTCAAGCTCAACATGAGGGTGTTTTTTTTGTTTTTTTGTTGTTTTTTTTGAGAAAACGACTCATATCAGATACAAAATTTTAACATGGTGAATATCATCTTCCCTTATTTTTTAGAAGGGGTGAATTTGAAAATTGCAGAAGTTAACACACACACACACACACACAGAGAAAACATTTCACCATATTGTAACACTCGAGAGCGGTCTCGTCTTGGACCACGTCTTTACCTGCTCTTGTCTCAGTCTCAGACAAAGAGGACTCAGGATTTTATTTCAAAACCAGTCAAGACCACAACTGTGGGGAGTTGGATATAAATAGTTATGTTGTTTTCAGCTCGTTAGTGTGTGTTTATATTTGTTTGTTCATAGAAAACAAACTAATTCCTGTACGTGAAGTTCACCTCTGCAATGCCTTCTGATTATTTTATCAAGACATTTCTCACGGTATACTTCAGCCCACTTCAGACCAAAGATTCGCAACGAGACGAGTTGTAACTTGCAATTACTTGGAATGCACTGGTGTGCAATGTTCCGAAAACCTGTCAGTTACACCAATGTGACTGGACAAGACGATGCATCATCTCCATAGCAACAACTCCCTGTACTTTTGTTCTAACTTCCAGTTTTTCAGGCTTATTTTGATGATGAATATAATTTGTAGCTTCTTAAAATATGAATGGGGATAGTGATAAAGAGAGACTTGCTACAGGTGTATTTCTATGAAACGGCGAAAACATAAAGATAATGCCCTGAGCTTCATATGGACTGTATTTACAATGAATACGGCACCATAATTTAAATAACCAGCACTGATTAATCAGTCAGTGAGTATTTGTGTGTGACGTGCACATACAGCAAGCAGCAGCAGCAACCTACCTTCCGACACAACAGTCTGTGAGGACAAAGACCGACATATGTGTCAACAGCCACAGAGATGTAAAGGAGACGGACATGGGCTGTTGTCGAAGAATGCCTCAGCAAGCCAACACGCTTCTGTGGACTGACTTGGCCTGCAGATTTTGCTACAAGCCAATTGGCTGTATAAACAGGTGACATGCCTGATGTTCTAAAACTAGCTGCTGGCAACCTGACAAGCTGAGTCACAGGTGACACCATCAGTCGGCTTGAGTCAAGCTGAGACGGGCCCATTCACATAGCTGGAACTTGCAAATCTTTGGTCTGAACTGGGCTTTACACGCATATATACAGAGTGCATGTAAAGAGATGCATGAAAAAGAAATGTCATTTGTCTTCTGAGTGTGTTTTTATGGGAATGTGGGACTCCCACATTGGTCTAGGTCTCATTGCCTAAAAATCACTCTGGTTTTGGTCATGACTTGGTCTCAGTTTAGGCGGTCTTGACTACAACACTGTTAAAAACAAAACATGATTTTCCCATTCATTTTTTTCCCAGTGCATCAATGAAGAAGGCTTTCGTCTGTTCTTGAAGACATATTTAGAAGTGGAGGACTTCCCTGTGGATCTCTGCCAGCGACTCTTCCGCTCCTTCCAAAACTCTGAACCCACCCAGGAAGACAGTGCCAGTGAGATTATACACAGTGTATTAACACAACCTACTGCCTCCATGCTACTTTGCAGCATGCCCCTCTCAGTTTACGCCATGGCCTATTTGGCATACATTCATTTATCACCACATGCCCATGAGTTACTGTTTGTGCAGATATGTAATATGTGTAACGAGAGTGTTCACAGCCATCTCTCTCTCTCTCCTCCGGCTCTCCTGTAGAGGAAGTCTTTCTGAAGGATGTTTCATGCTACTTCTCTCTGCTGGAGGATGGGCAGCCCAGGGACAAGTTGGAGTGTGAGTCCTTTGTTTCTTTTCTGCCCAACATAATTTGAATGATGAATTGGTTCAGCACTTCCACTTTCATTTTCCATCCCTCTTTAGTCGCTTTCAAGCTCTATGACAGAGATGGCAATGGAGTCCTCGACAGCTCTGTAAGTTATTCAGAAAATCTGTAAAGTGTGAATGTCAAGATCAAGTTAAAAAATCTGGCTCTTCTGTGGATTCAGTTCAAGGTTGAATCACCATAAGATTTAAAGTATTGTGTCATACCAGCAGCAGTACTAAAACAAGTCTTTTGTTGTTTTTCAAACAGGAAGTGGATAGGATTATTGCTCAGATGATGCATGCTGCAGAATACCTCGGATGGGATGTGTCAGAGCTGAGGCCGGTAAGTCCTAGAATGCTTTAGCCTTGACGGTATCATAAATGCACGTATAGATAGACAGAGTTGTTTGCGCAAGATGTTGTTTACGTCATTACGTCAGTTCTGTATATGACAGTACTTGTTACTCATTTGCTAGAGTTGTTAAAACGATAAGCTTCTTTGTGCTTATGAAATCAACAAATTCCCACACATGAATAGTTCCAGAAAACATATGTCCTTTTTTAAGTGATAGAGGTTTGTGTGCTGATTTGATAATAACATCAAATGTCATTTAATCAGGTTCTGAAGGACATGATGACAGCAATAGATGCTGACAGCAGCGGCACGGTGTCTCTGGAGGAGTGGGTGGAGGGAGGCATGAACAACGTTCCCTTGCTTGTCTTGCTGGGTTTGAAGGTACTTTAGAGCCAGCATGTTTCTCTTTTCATTAAGTGTTGGCCTCAAAAGCCTAACTGAGATATAATTCATTTTTACAGCAGATGTCTCACAAAGTGGTAAAACCCACTTTTACTGCTCTTGTGAAACCTTGGCTTCGCGTGCCACTCCTCTGTCCTCTGCCTCCTCCCCCACTATAAGGGATTTTTTTGCCGACTCAGTGTAACAGGGTGTGGTAATGTCATCTTCTCTCATGCAAACTCTGCACCATCAGAGTGCTCCTGTGTTTTCCATTTAGTCTGCACAATCTGTGCCCATATTTATGTACTGCATAAAATAGCATTCCGTAGGCCAATGATCTATATTTGACTAAAGAAATTTTAACATTGGCTGTAATCACAAAAAAGTGGTTGTCTTAAATCATGGACAGATCCATTTTGTGTTGTGGGTTTTGTTTAATGGGTTGCCAGGAATGTAAAAGCCACTTACTGTAAGACTGCATGGTCACTGCTGCGGTCTAAAACCATACACTGGACTCTGCCACTGGGTTTGGCCTCTACTACAATGCCAGGGACTTCCCCTCAGGCTATTTCTAGCCACCAGTGGACATTTGAAGCCTGGGGTGCATGAATTCAGCCCCCTCACAGTTGCTGTGTGCTTTTTTCGCGGCCTGCCTGCTATGCTTCACGCAGTGAGCGATAGGCTGATGCATCATGTTGGGGAAAAAACATGTCAGTGTCTAATCCATATAAGAGAGCTGTTCGTTTGTTAACAGATTGAAAGCAGCCTTATAATCTTGTGCTGAGAATTGGAGATTATAGTCAGTGTTGATTTGAATATCCATGGTGCTACACTTTATGTCATGATATGTAGAGCCACTACATACTGCATAATCAGCAATCTCATTAACGCAAGGTTAGTCGTGAGTGGGTGTGAAAAACAACTGAAATGCAGGCTTTGCCCACAGTGTTTTTATGAAAGGGTTTTTGCAGCTTGATTTAAAATTTAACAAAGGAAACAAATATAAGCTTCTTTGTTGCATTTAGTTTTCTGTTGAAATGCAAATAAGCTAGCACGGGAACAAAGATCTTAAAACATGATGTTCTTCTCTTTTCTTCAATGATCGCACCTTCAACAATTAGATGACCCAGAAAGACGGGCAGCACCTTTGGAGGATGAAACATTTCAACAAGCCTGTTTACTGCAACGTATGCCAGAGCTTGCTGCTGGGTCTGAGGAAGCAAGGACTATGCTGCACCTGTGAGTACCTGAACTCACCAGAAGAGGGTGACACTGCAGTGACATTTATCACTGACAGTGTGGTGTCAAAACTGAGAAATGCAGGATCCATCTGTCAGCCTTAAATTTGACAGGATCATTTATATTCACATAAACATTATATGACACCTGGGTTATGTGTCCTGTTGTGTAGGTTGCAAATACACAGTCCACGGCCGCTGTGCTAACAGGAACCCTGCCCCCTGCACCAGGACGTATGTGATGTCGAAGAAGGAAACAGGGGTATGCCAGTGTCTCCATGGCAACATTTATACTCATAGTCTATATTAAACATATCTTATGTAGACGTTAAAACATTCATCCCACATTTCAGATTCCAGCGCACGACTGGGTGAGTGGGAACTGTGACTCTAGGAAGTGTGAAAAATGCCAGAAGAAGATCAAGAGCTATCAAGGCTTAACTGGGAAACACTGTGTATGGTGCCACACGATGGTGAGGAAACATCTATGTGTGTCTGCTTTTTAGGTATATATACATAATAAGCAATGAGGAGAAAATGTGCATTTTGGTTATTAGGTACTCAAATGGGACAAACTGAAAACTTGGTATTTCACCTGGAGGCAGTGCCTTACGTCCTGTGTCACACAGAATGTTGTGCGCCTGGTGCATGTTCTCTTTACCTCTCACTGGGTTGTGTCTTCATAATTTAGATAAGAAAAAATATGTTTATTATGTCCACAAACAAAGATCTACTATTCAGATATTAATGTGTATCTGGCATCAATAGATCCCCAGCTTTAACGCGCTCACAAGGCAGACAATCAGTTTTGATGTACATAGGTATGAGACCAAACATATGATAGGAAACATTAATAGTATATTGTGTATACCTTCATACTTGTGTATTATTCATACCACTTGTGTATTATTCATACCACTCAATTAACCTTCTCATTTTCATCAAACCAAAATAAATCAGGATGTTTACTGTGCAGTCTTACGAAAGTGCACCCAGGGTATCATAAAAGTTTGAATGTACACTCACAGGCTTAAATGGCCACGGAGCTCGCCAAAGTTGCCTGCAAAACCATGCCCATCCAGATGAAGTACAAAGTTTTTCGTGAGTCCCTGGCTCCAATGGCCTAATTATAGGCTGTGTACCCATGATGCTTTGGGATCAAATTCAGTCTGGGGAGGCTTATTTTCTTCAAACTTTTCTGTCTCTTCCTGACTCCAGACTCACTTTGCAGAAATGCAAAGAAAAAATCATTTAAAAGGATACATTTAGATCCTGTTTGTAGTCATCACTGTTGTGCTGGGAGTTTAACGCATGTGTCATTGTTTATGTTTAACAGCGTCATGATGAATGTGCTGACCAAGAGCCAACAGAGTGTACCTGTGGGCCGCTCAGAGACCATATCCTGCCTCCATGGGCAATATATCCTGTTATAAAGGTACAGAATTATCCGCAGGCATATGTACAGTACAAACACTGTCTGTCACTCCAACGCAGAACTGAAACATCCACTCAGGGCTGTTTCTTGTTTTTTGTAAACCCTTCTCACCTGTGTTGGCGTTTTGACAGGTACAGTGTGTGGAGATTTGTCTTTTTTCTCACAAGGCAAAAAAATCTATTGCATTTTCTCTGGTTTATTCGCAGTCTGCCTTTGTTTTTGTCCCTAAAGGAGAGACCAAACAATGTAAAGAATGGCTGCTCAGGCTCAACGGATGACAGCGAGCTCAATACTACTCCTGATGGACAAGTGCTTCAGGTATTATTCTCTCCAAAGAAGCCTCTTGTCAATGTTGAATTTTTACAAGGAGAAAGCTAAATTTGATTTGGCTACATGTACAAAAAATCAGTAACTCAAATGACAACATTGGTTTATCATTCGACAGATCAGCCCTGTGCCAAACACCCATCCTCTTCTAGTGTTTGTCAACCCTAAGAGTGGTGGCAAGCAGGGAGAAAGGTGAGTCCAAAAAAGAATATGTTCATTAGAAATGGATGTCTAATACATGCACATCGTTTAGCCTGGTTTTATGTATTTCAGAGTCCTGCATAAATTTCAGTATTTACTGAATCCACGGCAGGTAAACAACCTTTCAAATGGTGGACCTGGACCAGGGTGAGTAAAAATAAACTAAGGTCAGTATGACATGGGAATAAATGGATGAATGGAAATAGACTGTATTTGAAAAGACCTAACACCCAGATGCACTAAAGCATCTGACAGGCATGTTTTCAAGTGCATGTATTGTTTTAAATGGCCACACACGCACCAAAAGCATTTTTGAGACGCGTCAGATTGCTTTGATGTCCCCAGTCCGACCTTTTTTTGATTTTGGAGGGTCAAATGAGGACATAGCAACCAAAGTCAGTGAGGCAGAGAGGAGAGGCAGAGAGGTAGACATGCAGCACTTCCACTTCCACTAACAGCTGACTTTAGCTCCATTAGCTATGCTTAAAATGTTATGCATTACATTTATATAGTTGAAATTATGCAATGGTAAATGAAAACAACCACTATATGTGTTGACACATGTCAGATACTAAAAATAAGTACAATGACAGAGCTTAGATCACGGCGTCATCAACGAGAATAGTCCAAGGGCCAGAGTTTTTCTAAGGAGACATTGTGAGGGCTGGACTCTCAAATATATATAGATAGATTGATAGAAATATAGGTAGATAGAGACCTATTTTGCTTGCCATTGTTTAATTATTTAATTGATATATTGTTACATTTAATATATATATTCGAATAATAAAAATTAAATAAAATGTTGAATAAGATCATGTGAAAAAAATTAAATGTGTTAAATAAGAGCTAAGAGTTTGTCCCCATTCTTGCATTAAGATATGCCCAAAGCAGCATCCCATTTATCAAAGAGCGGAATTACTTTCAGCTTTACTTATCCAATCTGCACCACCCAACCAGCGCCACAGCACGTGTGTATATGGTTTTCTGTGTGTGTGTGTGTTAGAGACAGAGTTAGAAATAAAGAGTGACAGAGAGAAAGGAAGAGAAGGTGTAAGGTAGTGGACGCGATGTGTCTGTACGTTATAAATAACTCACTCAGGCTGCTGTTTTGCCATTTTTTTGACATTTGATATTTTCTCTAATAAGCATACATAACCCGCTGCATCATTATCGCTAATAATAAACTGACAAATGGATTTATAATGGCTTTAGTTAGTACCCATGGGTCAAACACACATCTTTGAGGTTGGTAAATCATTTCTAATGAAATTATTCCCATCTCAATCATGTTAGAGGTTGCCTCAACACAGGAAGAAAACAACAGATATCTTAAGTATTGTAATGCATTTTTTAACCTCTTCACATTTTCTAAATTAATTAATGTTCTGTTCCATCTGAGCCAGATGGAAAGCTTTGGTGGGCCGCCAGTTGTCTATTACTGGCTTAGATCCTCACATCAGCATAACAGACCCACCCTGGATCATCTATCCTGAATGTTAACATCTACTGGTCATAACTTAACTTGCTACATAAACCTTACAACAGAAATTAATTAACCTAGTGCAGAATTATGATTAGCTGTGCTTTCAGAGACTTTTACCCAGCTGGACGAAAAAATAAAAGATGAAATGAGATGTCTGGTTCCCAGCAGCTTTACTGGTGTTCTACAGCCAAACAACTGAAGAAACAAATTGGAATGTATAGAAAATCAATGGAGGGGAATCTGTAAAGCGTTCAAACTTGTGCCTGCCTACATATAAATAGGGACCTTTTCCTAAAGTACTGCTGGTTCTTTGATGCTGGAATCTAAACTCTGGTGCTTGTAGTGGGCCATAAGAGCATCAAATGAGACGTGTCAGTTATGGCTTTCAGTGCATTTGGGCCTACAGACTTCAACAGTAGATTACTTAAGACCACATTGTGCTGAATACTCGAAGCTCTGCTGTGATAGTTCCCATCATCTTTCTTTCAGATTGAGTTTCTTCAGGAACCTGCAGGATTACAGGATCTTGGTGTGCGGGGGAGACGGCACAGTTGGCTGGATTCTAGACGCAATAGGTGAGACTGGTGGATCACTATAAGAGGAAGCACTATAAATGGCACTCGCTAGCTTCCACACCATGCGCTTCTGTTGAAAATCGTGACGCATTTCCTGTTTCCTTCCCTTTTTCCTTGTCTTGATATCAGACAAAGCCAATCTGGTGGTACGGCCACCTGTCGCTGTGCTTCCCCTGGGCACAGGAAATGACCTTGCGCGATGCCTGCGATGGGGAGGAGGTGAGAAAATGAATTAGAGATTGAGTGTTGTCTGAAGATGAAAATAAAGAATTGGTTTGCTGCGTGTGCTCTGTTGCTATGTGTGTGTTTGAATATGATTCAGCAAAGGAGAAGTGCTCCAAATGGTCTATTCATTATTTGTCTAGATTAGTCATCTTGTTCTTTGTGCATGTTTTCTTTCTGAAGGATATGATGGTGAGGATCTGAGTCGTATTCTTAAAGACATCGAGGGCAGCTCTGAGGTGCTGATGGACCGCTGGAGTGTGCAGGTCATCACAGATGAGAATCAGGAGAAAGGCGACCCGGTGCCCTATGAAATCATCAACAACTACTTCTCTATTGGAGTTGTGAGTCTCTCAGAAAAAAAAGTCACACAGGAGGAAGTTTTTATTTTTTCAGGTTTGTGTTTGGATCATTCTGTGTTGTGTTGACAGGATGCCTCCATTGCCCACCGGTTTCACACAATGAGGGAGAAACATCCCCAGAAATTCAACAGCAGGTACGCATTGCACTCTTAGATGGAACATATTCAGTTTCTAAGGCCGCTCTGCAGAAACAGCAAACAAACAACAGTATCCCACTCTGTAATAAAAACAGCTCCGTTTTTAAATCATACCTCAAACAGATGTACCGTTCAATAACAAAGCAGACCTGGGGAGCTCTTTAAATTTTTTGTCATCTTTTAGTTTTCCTGTTTACAGCAACAGATTTTTGAGGCTGAAAAAAAAACTGAATGCAGGTGGCCACAGCAGATGTCTGTTGCAGCAAGCGTTGCAACTTGACTCCTCCTCCCTCTGAAGAGCTGTCTGTGACAAAAGGAGAAAATGTTCTGTGAAAATGAAATATCACTTAAACCTGAACAAACCCACACTTTTTTGTGACGGCAGAATGAAGAACAAGCTGTGGTATTTTGAATTCGCTACTTCAGAAACCATCTCTGCTTCCTGCAAGAAACTGAGCGAAAGTCTAACAATCGAGGTGAGAACGCAGCATCAGCTTTGCAAGTTTGTGTTTTGCCTTTGAAACAAACTGTTTCTGCAGTGTGAAAAAAAGAACGGTTCCCACAGTCAGACAGAGTACTGATACTTTCATTCTCTCTGTGACCTGCTGCTGTTTCTTCTTCAGTGCGCTGGTAGTCCACTGGATCTCAGCAACCTGTCTCTAGAAGGGGTCGCTGTCCTAAACATTCCCAGCATGCACGGTGGCTCCAATCTGTGGGGTGAGACCAAAAAAGGGGACACAAAGGGACAGACAAGTCAGGAAGAGCCTGAGGTGATCGTCGACCCAGAAATCCTGAAAGTGACCTCCCAAGGTATTTTATCTTTGGTGAAGGGTGCATATGATAATATTGTAAATCTGACTTAAAGCAACTACAAGGAACTTTTCATTTAGTGTTGATTTTTGGGGCCCCTCTGCACAATAGCGGTGGTGTTTCCATTTGTGACTAGAGCTGGGTTAAAATAATAGATTCATCCGATTCAAATTGATCTTCATTCAAATGACCCAATATCAATTTGTAAAATCTGAGATCGATCTTATTATATGAGCTTTTTCCATCATTAATGACCGTAGTATTGATAAGCTGCGACGTTACTGATTCTTTATCTGTAACTGTTAGCTTACTTTTTTATGTTGTGGAGTAATTTATTATGCTGCAGCAGCCCCTCCTGCTGTCTGTGTGTCGGGGCTTCTGTGCCACATTTACGCACGCACACACACACACACACACACACACACACACACACACACGGAATAGAGATGCTGCATTGGAGACAGAGCAGTAAAGATAGCTGAGCTGACGACAGCTGAGTTTGTTACTGTGAGTGCAAAAAACCTCCTCTGGGAAAAAGTCAATACTTTATCAATACACCTTTTTAGCAACATGTAAACATGTAGAAAAGCGATATTTTAATCTGCTCTGTCTGCAGTGTCTCATCCACTGCTGCTAATATAATGTTATACACAAGCACAGAGTGCTTTCCATCTTATAGCAAATTATTACTAACAAGCTAAAACAACTGTTGTGTCTTAAGGTTTAGTTCAGTTTGCCTAGTATCTTACAACTTACCAAGAGTAATGTGACCTGCAGGCAGTGAGTCTCCTCAGCAGCAGAGAGGACAGGAGGACTGATACTGACTGATGTCTGTGTTCTTTATTCTGTCTACTCTTCACTCAGTACTGTGATGTCAGGAATATGATTAATTTTATTATCATTTTAAATTTCTTTACAGTGAGATATTAAGTTTATATTTTGACTTTGCTGTTTTAATATCACCGTTGCTGCTCTAGAAACATTTAGTTATAAAATATTCAGTTTTATTCCTGTCCTATTCCTTGTGAATCAAAATCAAATTGATTCATGAAATCAGTGGCGATACTCAGCCCTATTTGTGACTATGTAAGATTAATAACTGTAGTATGATGTAAAACCAGGTTTCATTATCCATAAAGAAAACGGGCATATTAGATACATGTCTATGAGGAAGAGGGCCAGATCAGGGTTGGTTTTAAATCCTGCAATTCTCTCATCTGGTGAGTGATCGACCAAGGTTGACTTGTGTTTCCGCATATGCTTTATCTCCGTCCCTTTTAGCTTCTTTTGTTCTTCTATCACCTCTTCTCTTTGCTGATTGTACCCCAGAATCAGCCTTAACCACAAAATATAACATCAAAAATAAGAGACTGACTCTGTTTCATAACCAGCTAAAAACTCCTTGTAGTTGCTTTAAAGCAGCCCAAATCAATATTTTTCATCTGCAGTTTCTCACAGCTACATGCAGGTTTTATCGGCTCATTATTTGGTTTTACAGCCCATAAACTTTACTCTCATTAACCTCGCTTCAACTCGAGCTGCAGCAGGCAGCTGTTTTTAGCACAAAGGTCCTGATAAATCTCCTGTACTTGTCCAGTACAAACATACAGAGCTAAAGGGAGAGTGAATATTGGACTTACAAACCCCGACAGGTCCCACAATAAATGATAAGATAAGATAAGATACGCCTTTATTGATCCCACAATTGAGAAATTCCAGTGTTACAGCAGTCAAGGGGAAAGAGTCAGATTAAAGATTTCAAAATTTAAACTTAAAAACTTAAAACTGCAAACGCAAAATAAAGTACAAAAAATACAAGAAACGGCGATAAATAATAATAACAATAATAATAATAATAATGAGCAGTGAATAAAAAAAGCAGTGGATTAAAGAGAGCACATCTAGTGCAAGTGATTGTATGTGCAAAAAACAGCAAACAGCTGTGGTGTTTATAAAGTGTTGCTCAGTGTCTGTTGGATGTGTAAATAAGAGACTGAAAAGGGCCGACTGAACAACTTATGAGGTGATTAAATGTCAGATGTTTTGTTTTCTGCTTCATCTGCTGCTCCCAAGTGGTTTAAAATCAATTAATGCAGTTTCAAGAGGGTTATTTGCACAAATCATTAAATGCAGTAAATGAAACTGGCTCCCATGTGAAGAAACCATTCGTCTAACTCACTGGTACATAACCCACTAGAGGCCGCCAAAGCTTCACCAGGGTTGCAAGGCCCTCTTGATTTTAAGAGGTGTAGGAAAATATCTCAGCATTGCTCTGATTTCTGTGAACAAAAAAAAAAACGAAATGAAATTGTTATTTTAAAGATTATTATTCAAGATATAAACCTCAAAAACAATCTCATATGATAGGTGCACGGTGAAGATATGAACACAAGCCATAATCACACAGCTTTCACGCTCTGCGACATGGCCTCGTCCTGCGTTAGCAAAGTACACAGTTAAAACAATTAAAGAGCTAATAGAACAATGGATAAGCATCAAGAAGAAAACAAAAAAGACGACTTATTAAGGAAAAAACAACAATACTGACAGAGAATCGTTAAAACATTCCTAAAAAAAATTTAAGAAACTAATCTTTGATGAATTATTCACAGAAATATGCTCAAAATCTGTCCAAATCTCTGAATAAAAGGGGTTCCTTATAGCAGTGCTTCCCAACTGGTCCAGTCACGGGGTCCAGATTTCTCCATAGTCATGAGTTGAAGGTCCACGCAACTTAATACATTCAGCGTCATACTAGCGTGTTTGGCCATGTCGTTGAGCTAGTTCTCTTATGTCTCTGTCAAGTAGCTCTCTGTTAGTCACTCACTCTACGGCAGGAAACTTTACTTCAAAATGAAAAGCTCTGTGCTGGAAATTCGCTGTCCTTCAAAATAAAAGATGTTTTTTTACAAACTTGACATACTCGTGAGTCGCTTGCGGTCCATTCAGAAAACCGCGACCCACCAGTTGGGAACCACTGCCTTAAAGGAATACGTCATCTGCAAAATGACTAATTGTATGTTAATTATTCAGTGTATTACCTTGAATTTGTGGAGAAAACTTTTCGCTCAATAAAGAATTTTCACTAAAAGCACGTCAGTACATTCCCATGCATGGCTGAGTAGTGTCCCTGTTCAGGTGGAACTAATATGCTTGCGTGTGCTCAGGGCGCGCTGCTCGTAGGCTTTAATGTTTTAAATCTGAATAGTTAAATGAAGATGCATGTGTTTGGGAAGTACTGAGGAAAAGACTGGATAAATGTGATCTGGATTATACTGCAAGAGTTGTTTGTAACAAGATGTTTTGATATAATTTTGCTGTCGTCAAACGCGGCCCCCATTTACTTAAATTCATGAAGAATGATCACCTCTTCTGGATTTTCCATTCATCAAAAGGGCATGCATGGAAAATAAAATTTTCTTTACAAATTCAATGTAACACAAGTAATTGATGTGTGTGTAAATGACAAATGGTCAGTTTGTTCTTCTGAGGAAACAGTTCGGGAACCTCTGGTCGGACTTGATGATGTATTTTCATGCTCTTTTGGTATTTAAACCTATATTAACTAATTTTTCTGGCCTCTTGAAGGCAGCAATTTATAAACACAACACTGACCTTTAAAACCTGCTGACACATCCAGCAGACACAGAGCAACATTAGCTTTCATCTGGAGTCGTGTTTGTGTCCACCTGTCCAATATTCACTCGGTGTTCACCAGCTAGGTGCCAACTTTCTGTCTACTGTTTTGTTTTGGGCAGATAGTGTACAGTCAGTTTATCAGAGCTTTTATTTACTGAAAACAGTTCAAGTTATCTGTTTGTTCTCCATTGATTGATTGTTCACATCAAAATGTCGACCAAAGCCCCTCTGAAAATATTTGGACTTTGATTTATTACGGAGCAGTTTCAGTTTTAGTATAAATGTATTCAGTGATGCATGTGGTGGATTCACTTTATGCACAACATGACTTTGCTGCTTTAATTGACTCCCACGCTGTTTCCTGATGCAGAATAGATATGATGATTAAATATTTGGGTTTGTCTCAGACTGAGCAATGTCCGCCGTCTGCACAGTTGATGTTCAGAGTGTCTGTGTGTTCTTGTCAGATCTCAGTGATCGTCGATTAGAGGTGGTTGGCCTAGAGGGAGCCATGGAGATGGGACAGATATACACGGGTCTGAAGAGTGCTGTGAGGCTGGCGAAAACGTCACAGATCACCATCAGGTGAGAAACAGACATGTTCAGACTTGTCGGGGTTTGAGCTCCAAGTCATGATGGCTTGTAGTTGAGTGTGATCACCAGCTGAGGATGATCCTCTGGTTCTTTACATAACAATAATCACGCACACTGGCTTTCCTTTTGATATTTTAATCACACATTAGGGGCATTGATTTTGCTACCTGATCTCTCTGTACTTTACCCCCAGGACGAAGAAAGCATTACCGATGCAGATAGACGGAGAGCCGTGGATGCAGCCTCCCTGCACAGTAAATAAGACACAGACACAAACACAGATTCTTCCTGAGCTGAGACACCCCAGGTGGAATTATAGTTGTTTTTTTTTTCATGCACTGGTCAATTTTGAGTTTTTGGGCTATTTTGCATTCTTAACGTGCTCTTTCACACAAGTGAAAAGAAGATTTCCAAAATACACATTTAGATGTTTATTTCAGTTCAGATTTCTCCTCTGGAAATGCATGTCAAAGGCACAGATTAATTTAGATATGCTTCATTTGCATATTTAAACATAAAAAAAAAAAAACCTCGTAATACAAAAAAGTCTAAGTGTAAGTAAATCTTAGTTCTTGCAAGGTGCTGAGTCCAGACTGGTAGAAAGAGATTTCCGCACACTTACATCCATGCAGAGCAAACATGAGGCAACAATGGACAGGCTTGTAAAAGTAACCAATCTCAGTACACAACACACCTGTGTCCTTTCAAAGCCCCATTTACTATGTGATATAATTGTAATTTGATATTGTTATAAAGTGCTCTGTGATTTTAAATGTTTTTCTGGTCTCACTGTGTTCCATCCTTGACTTATATTGTGGTGCTGTATGACAAGACAAATATGGCTTCCATTTGTATGCCTTTCAGTCAAAGAGCATGGATACCAAGAGGCGAAGCTCAATAGAACGCCCCATAGCAACAGACTCGCCAATGGTTTCGTCCTACAGCCGCCATTTTGGACTGTCAGCAGACCGCAGCAGACCCACTTGCATACAAAAACACACAGACAAACTGAAGTATATCGCTATTAATTATGCTTACAATGCTACTCACCTCTCGATAGCCTGGTCACAGCTGCTTTTTCACGTTTTTGTAAAGTAAAATATAGACTTTAAAAAAACAAAACGAAGAAAAATGGCCTAGATGGCATCTCTACATATTACATCTACATATTACATCCACTTATGAGAAGATTAACTTAATTACTCCTTCAAAATCACCCCATAAGCCAATCTACCAAAGAAAAAAAAATTCAATATTTTAACTAGAAGCACATTAATGGCGACGTCACATAGTCAGGAATAAAGATTTATTTACAGTTTGTACAGTAAGGGGACAATAATAATAATAATAATATATAGGCTATTTTAATATGATATATTTTAATTATTTTAATGCTAAAGCAGTAATCAGTTCTGATATAAAATGTGTGTGTGTGTGTATATATGTATATATATATATATACAACAAAACAAAACTGGCATATTAAATTGATATTAAAACACTTTAAAACTTACACCTCAGGAGTTCTTACCTTACCGGGATTCTTCGGGAAACGGTGGAAGGCCAGGTGCGGGGTGTTCCACTGATAGTTATTGCAGTTAATTGAACTACACTGTTTTCTTTTACTTTTTTCTCCTCTCTCCTTGACATCTTGTATGTTGTCTGGGCGCAACAGTCCAAGCTCAATAGTCCAAAATGGCGGCAGCGCCCCTAGTGGCTGTTGGCAAAAATTCAATGGAGTTTCGCCTCTTGGTATCCATGCTCTTTGTTTCAGTTTGCCATCCAGTATTAAAAAAAAACTACAACTCCCAGAAGGTGTAGCTCCCTCCTACCACCAGGGTTAGACACAGGTGTGTTGCATACAGCCAGTGATTAGACTGACACTGGTTACTTTTACCAGCCTGTCCATTGTTGCGTCATGTCTGCTCTGATGAAGGTCGAATAGACTGACAGCTCAACAATAAAGTGAGACACTGCACAGATGTAATGGTGCTGTCTGTTGAAATATTTTTATCTTGAAATGTATGGAATTTTACAGGACATATCTTCAAAGGCCGTTTTCTCAAAATGAGTTTTTTCTCACTCTGAGCCAAAAGTCTCAACTTCAGCAGCTCATACACACACACGCACCAAACTTTACAGTTTTATTCCTGTCTATATTCTGAAGGTTTTTATAGAGGGGTTTGTTTATATAACATTCACAGCCTCATTTAGGGAACATTTTATTCATAAGAACATGGTGAAATTAGATTTTTTTTTTTAGGGCTGTTGACAGTATTATATGTGATAAAAAGAGAGATCCAAAATTCTGCCTGTAAAAACCATTGAATCTAATGTCAACAAAATGAAATAAGAATTTTGAATCTGGCTTTATCCAATGTTCAGATGTTTGTTCTGGTAATGTGTGAAAATCAGCTCATATTTAATTTGATAATGCATCATTTGCATATTAAAAAAAAACTTGTTATGAAAAAATAATTGTCTTACTGCAAGTCATCATCTGGAGAAGTTTCATGGTGAAATCTGTTAGTTAAAAATGTTACCCTATCACCTGGGGTGTCTCTCCTTAAATGAAATTAAATATTAAAGTAAAATTTCCTTATTTAAGTTTGATTATCTTGTAATTTACTGGACACTTTGCTTTTTTATTTCCTTTCCAGATTCACATCACACACAAGAATCAGGCCAGAATGTTGATGGCTCCTCAGGCCAAATCATCTGGCTTTTTCACCTACAAATGAAACTATTCAGACGCAGCAGCCCAATCCTTGTAAATAGAGGACTGACACTTTTTTTATATGTATACCATCAGTTTGAATGTGTATGTTGTAGAATAATCGCATCGTGAAGGTCAGAGTTAGGATAACTGCATCTCTGTAACACATAACCGAAGCATGGCACTGTATGAATACAACTGTGTGGTAAGATATGTTTGCATCGTGGCAAAACGATTTTGACCAAATGTACTTGGTGTTTATATCAATACTCAACTCTCTCGCTGCCTCTGTCTCAGTGCTTCACAGTTAGTAGAAATGCTGTTCTGTAGGAACTTAAACATTTAAAGTAAAGTGAATATCACGCTAAAAGATGAATACTCAGCTCCATGTGCCTTTACGATTTGTCCTCTATGGTTATGGCTTCGGTAGGAGACTTACAGAGCTCTGTGTAGATGTGCACTTTGGACTTAAACCATGTAGTATTGCTGTTTTCGTTGTGGCTGTAAAGATGCTGTGGACGCCAGATAAATGTTGTTGTCAATTTGGAACCAAAAGCGAAGGTTAGATGAGATTACATTTCAGATTGTTTCACATTTAACATTTCAGATGATACTTGAAAGTGTTGTGGGGAACAGTAACGGACAATCATTGCCAGAAGGGCTGCATGTTGATCTGCTGCAGCAGTAAGCCCACTCTACTGTTCCTGTGTGTGTGTGTGTGTGTGTGTGTGTGTGTGTGTGTGTGTGTGTGTGTGTGTGTGTGTGAGGACAGACAGCTGAGATGTGCTCACTTCTAACTTATAAATTGCGACGAGTTGGATTTGAAATTATTGGTTCAGACCAATTTAAATATGTGTAGTTCTTATTTAAATGCTTTAACTGTCATATCATTTCAATATATCTGGAATATGTTTATGTAATATGCCTGAAATAACACACTGTGTAAAGATTTTAATAAATCATCTGAACTTCAGTGTTTGGTACTCCTCATTCTTTATGTGGTAGGTCATTTCATCCACCACGAGGGGGCGGTATTCACTTTTCAGTGTGTGGCTGCAACATGATCTGATCTGCTGACTCAAAATAATTGTTTTCTCTGCCTCTTTAAAACTTTTCTGCTCGTTGTGCAACTTAATCTCTTTGTTGTCAAAGTGAGAATCTGAGTTTGGTTTAAATATTAGGGATTTTTTCAGAGTAATATCCCCTCTGACTTAATGAGAGGTTAGTCTGCCAAAAACAAATGCTGCCTTCAGATGCTGTTGGACAAATCACGACTGCCTTACTGTATGTTTGGAAACTTTGCCAACAGCTGCTGGTCAGTTATTTACACAACTGTTTGTGTATAAAATAAGCCATCAAATTAAAGAATAATGTCACATATGTGCCTTACAAAGTTACAACAGCTATTCTCAGCTGGTGGGAATATACAAAAGCGTTAAAGAGCCCCTCAGGACACATTTTAAAATATTATTTTATTACACCTACACCTTCATTGACAAAATCCAGAATCTATGAATATGCAAGTAATTTCCCAATTTTCTTTTCTACAAAGTCTATTCTCAGTGTCTGTGTCCATATCACTCTGCCATAGGTCACATATTGGCTCATCTTGGCTCCCAAACTATTGCTGATTTCACAAAGTCATGTTTGCACATCTTCAACTCTAGATTCAATGTGACCTCTATTAAACTTTCCCCCTCAGTAGATGAATGTGAACTTTGTTCTAGTGTCAAACTGAACAATGAAGGTCAAACATCCAAGAGAAGCAGCAGGAAACAAAATACATTTTGTAATGTAGGGAGACTTTAAACCTTTTTCCCCAGAACTTAAAATCAATATCTAGTCTTCAGAGTTTGGTGTGTTGAATTAATGTAGCTGTCAGTGGAATTGTTGCCCACTAGTTTATCCCCCATCACAAGTAAGACTAAATCAGGAGTTTACACCCAAATCTTACCGTAATCGTAAGGGGTTCAACTACAACAGAGAAGCAATGATAAAATAAATAAATAAAATTAAAAATTAAAAAACTCATTCCTTTATTTTATTGGCCAAAAATTGTTTGTAGTTAACTACAGCATGCAGCTGCAAAAATTACTTAACTGCATGTAGTTTACTACCCCCAACACTGTCAACTAATGATTGTTATCATATCAATTAATCTCTTTATGTTTTAAATTAAACATTATTATAACCATTTTGTCTGTAAAATGTTAGAAAATAGTGAAAACTTGCAGCACAGTTTCTTAAATTTTAAGATGATGTCTTGTGTTTTGTACCCAGAAAGAAAATTATTCAGGTTATAAACACATAAAGCAAAGAAAAGCACATTTCAGAAGGCGGCAGTAGTGAATATTTGTCTTAACAATAACATGGAAGATTATAAATGTATTTTGGCCCTAAATCATTCATTAATTCATAAAGCAACACTAATACTTTCTTGGTCCTAACTGACTAATCAATTAATCGACTAATCCTTCTGCATTGATTACCTGCCCTGTGTGCTTTTATTCTCCTCTTGATTTTAATGCTACTTTATAAAATAAAAACACCACTACTTCAAAACAAACCCACTTCCAAACTGTGAAACAGGAACGTCCGAGGCGGCCCTGAACGCAGCACCAGAGGATGCACGTCAACATGTCTATTGGCACTCACTCGTGTCCTTCACAACACAAGTCCCCGCCTCCTGCCTATTCACAAGAACTAACACTGGAGTTGGCTCCACATTGAAGCTCACAACTCGGTCAGCATCTTCCCCCGCTGCTGTCTGTCTCTCTGAGGACAACAGGACACTTTAGTATTTTTAATTTGAGCAACTTCCCCACCTCAGCATGACGTTCAGGAGGCTGAAGAAGGTGAACTCCAGCGGGCCGGAGTCTGGACCCGCATCTCAAGACAACGACATTTATTTCCCCTCGTCAAAGTCGGACAGCTGCAGGACTGTGGAGTTACCGACACGCTCCTCGGAGGTTTACAACTACAAGACTTTGGCTTACTCTGGAGGGACGCTGCCTAGGAACTTCAAAAAGGTGAGAAGAGCATTCAGTGTTTGTTAACTTATTTCTCTCTTGTGTCTTCATTCATTGAGTCATGTAGTCTTAAATTATCAATATTTATTCATGAATATTAGATATTAACCTCACCTTTAAAGTTATTCCATGTTCAGGAACTTTTAAAACTCTAATTGCTCACACAAGACATTTACACTCTCCTTTTAAGAAGTTTTTCCACTCTCTAGGCTGAATGATTTATTTATATAGTTCCAGTTGTGGTTCTGGATGTTGGACTCAGCATCATAAACAGAAACCAGCTCTGCTAAATGAGCACTTTACATTGATTTTAGAGATTATTTCACCTGCCAGGAAGAGGAGATTATTTACAGTGATGTCTAGACAACACACTAACTTTGTTTTATTCCATTTAAAAGTAAAAAATATTTAGTTCTGATTCTCAGATGTGTGTTGTGAGTCTGTCTGCTGATTTTTGGTCTGACAGTGTTTGCCAGCTCACAGTGTATCTACAAAGGGCATCTTCCCTAAAGGTCAACAGTAGCTCATCCAGGGGGCAAGTGTGGACCACCCAAACACTGAGTCTGATTTATGGTGTGTGAGGTAGACCAGGGCCCGGGGGCTTTATTATGGAGGCAAATTAAAATGAGCAGAAGTTCAGGTTTATTCACAGTTAGCTGGAGTGTGACCAAAAGGGTTTTGTGTGAGCCATAAACAAACTGGTTTTCGGATACAAATAACTTATTTTCCTTTGAGGCATGATGGAAAATGTTGACTTTATTTTTTTATTTTAGAGGTGATTTAGTTGAGAAACAATCACAAGCTTTTGTTTTAATCATTAAAGTGGTGCCAATTCATGCTTAAATATACAAAAGAGTAGAACAGGTGTGGGCAAAAAGACAAAAAACTAGACTAAAGGTTGTGAAAAAAACAAAATTCTCATCATGAAGTCATTTAAATTTGACCTTATAATGGGAAATTTATAAAAATGTACTTGCATCATGAGTACAGAATATTTCCTGGAATCAAACAGCTAATTACCTTCATATTGGCGTATCCCATTTTTCTTAAATAATTACAGATACAATATTCAAATCACAATGACCACTGAGCTCATTTTGTTCTGACTCTGCATCAGTGATACTCAACTTAAGGTCTGCAGGCCAAATCTGGCCCTCTACAGGACGCTGGGTGGCCCGACGAATTATAAGTTTTCACAATGACAAACAGATTCACACTGGAATTTTTGGGCATTTTAAACTTGACTAAGGTGCCAGAGTGCATAAAAAACATCAAAATAGAGCTTGTTTTTCATTTTTAAAAAGTGTAAGACTGTGCCGAATATGAAGCTAGGGTCAGTCGTTGACATATCTGGCACTCACTGTTTTGGGGTCATCTTTGCCAAATTTAAAACCATTCCAGACACGTATTCAACATCTTGTTATCTTGTGTAAGCCTGTCACAGGTGGTCAAACTGTTGAAGTCTCACAACAAGACTAATCACTAAGTGTAAACGTCCTTGTTTGGGTCAGCCCTAACAAACTGCCAGGGGAGGAGGCTTAGGTCCCAAAGCCCTGAGCGTCCTCAAATCCTAGAAACGCCCATGTGTTGTTCACCTGACCTGTGTGAGGCTGCCGGGACTGGATTCGCCACGTTTATTAATTTTATCTAATATATATTATTAACATCTGTTTATCAACTGGCCCCTGACCTCGTGTCAGTTTGAAAAAGTGGCCCTCAGGCAAAGCAAATTGAGTGCATATTGCCTTTATTTCAAAATGAGATCACAGTGAAGATAACATCATCTAAGATAAACAACTGAGACCTGATAACAACATGTCAGTCTGCATCAGTGAAACCATGACTAAGAGTGAAGCTCAGGACTGACAGCTTTCATCACTGACGCTCCACAGTGTCTGACTCAAAGTTTGCTCGTCGGCCATCCGGGACGTTTTCCTGGCTATTGTGTTTCTCATAAAGCTCAATTCATTCTGTAGCTGTTCTTCCTCTGGGGTTTCTGGCGTCCCAGCTGGAAACATGTCTGAAATAGACGTGTACAGTAAAGAGAGCCACAGTCATCCACAAACCTGCATCCATACAGCAGTGTGCAGCGGCTGCAGTGAGGAGCTACAACAGTGCATTGTGCACACATGAGGCTCGGAGATCCTGCTCCAGCCACCCCCGTCGCTCTCTGAGGGTATTTGGGAATAAAAGCACTCATTGAGATGGCAGCGGGACAATTCTGTAAGTGTTGGGACATAAAGAAAGCAACATTTTACTACTCAGAGAGACTGTGGCACAAAGCGGCCTTTCATTGGAGCAACATTTGAAAATGATTGAGTTGGAACAGACGGGGATTGATTGTAAGTGATTTAGTGGAGCCTTCTGGACAGATAGCTTCCTTATTTACACAGCCAGGTAGGGCAGAGTCCTGACCTGCTGTTGACTTGAGTTTTCACTGAATGTGGTTATTGTGGCAGTTATCCCAGCCCACTGTGTCTTATTTGCTTCTTTAATAGGCTGGAATTTGTACAAAGTGCTTTAAATGATCTGAACGTTCAGTCAGGTCAACGGTGTGATCGCCTGAAGGCGGCTGTGTTTGTGTGAAATAAAAGCTAAATTTAGGTTTTCGGATGTTGTTGTGACTGTGTGAGGTAAACAAGGAGCAGCCAGACACGCATTTCTGGTTTCACCTTGATGTTTTCATACCCGCATGATGGCTCAGCGGCTTAAAAATACAAACAGACCGCACAGAGCACGTGTGCAGCTTCAGGACCTGATGGACCAGTTGATGTGTACAGTAGGTGTGTCCTGGAAATGGGGGGAAAAACCCTCATGAGTAATCTTGCATTAACCTCAAGCAGGTGTCTGACACGCTTCATGATTTGTTTCGTTTTGTCTTGGCAGGGTGGCGGCCTGCAGAAGTGGAAACCCCTGACACTGACGCCAGAACCACAAAGGTACA